AAGGCGATCAGATGCCGTGGGTGAAAATGCTAGCCCAAGACTATTTCCCATTATTTTATGTAGGAGAAATCATAATGTTAGGTGTCCGTATGCAAACTCCCTCCCCCACCAATCAATTTTCTAAAACAGGAGATGGCCGAATACAGCTCTCAGGACCAGTACCTGTTTTTGCAAATAAAGTTTTCTCAGAACACAATACCTATTTGTGTTACTGTGGTTACTTTCTTATTACAAGGACTTTGTTGAGTAGTTGCAATAGAGAACTTCTAGCAATTTAGTCTAAAGTATTCACGCTCTGGCCCTTTACAGAAAAAGCTTGTCAATCCTTACTCTAAAATATGACGAAAGCATAGCAAATGCCGTATCTCTCTCTCTCTCTATCTATCTATCTATCTATCTATCTATCTATCTCTACTATCACATTAAAAATATAAAAATATGTAAAACACTGATTACCAAACACTGTGATCTCAGCATAACAATATGTACATGTTTTAAATATGGCTTTTTCTTTTCACCAAGAACATCTGAGACGCATCCCCTTTGTTGCTCCCTTTTCAAAACCTCTACAGAAGTTTCTGACACAATACCAATTATATTGTAACTTGACACTTCCCCTCACACATTTCATTAAAAATGTTCTATTTAATTTTGGAGAAGGTCATAGAACTTTTTCTTTTATAAGCAAGAGCTAAAAATGTTTGCTTTAGAAATAAGTATTTTCTATAAAATTTAGATATTAAAAGGCAAGAGGCATTCAATTAGGAAAACGTCAACTGGGTATACATTTGCACTGTTTGCTTGTATTTCACTTCTTAGAGGCTTGGTATTCGCATCTATAAAATGGGATCAGACTTCCTGACAGGGCTGTGAGATTAAGAAGGAAAGCTACGTACACCTGATGCATTTTCTGTTCATAGCTTAATTAGAGGAGCAAATAATCACAGCAAAAGTTTGGAATTTTTCCAGATTTACCATGCTTCTGTTTAGGTTTAGTGGCCTGGAGATTCAAGTATGATTTGGGAGCCAGGGAGAAATTAGAAAGCTCTATTTATTCAGGTTAAGAGATGCCGGTAGTTATAACAAACATTCCTGAATCTCAGAGCCTTAACTTGGTGCAGTTTTATTTCCTAAGCAGCTCAGGCTGGTGCTGGCTGGTGAGGGACAGGGGTGGTGGCTCTCGATTGTGTTTCTGGGCCCTTGGCAAATACCATCCACTGACTCCACCATCTGCAGGAACTGGGAGTTCTCCACTGGAGTTCTGGGTGCACAGTTAAGGGAGGAGGGAGGACATTAGTGATGTTCAGGAAACTTCAGGGTCAGAATGAAAGTAACATACCCACTTTGATCTATTTCACCAGAACTTAGTCACAAGGCCCCACCTAACAGCAAAGGAAGCTGGGAAATACATCCCTCCTCTGCATCCAGGAAGAAGAAATGAATTGATTGGCATCTAGCTGGTCTGTGCCACACACTGGCCATACCTTTTTAGGTTATTATGGAGGATGAATACTTAGCCATATTTAAACTGCACAGATACCAATAATCTGAGAATCTGTTAACAGGTCAGGTACCCCTGGAAATAGCATCATTTGGAGACAGTAGTGCCCATGAGAGAGTGAATCTGTATACTGGTTTAAAAACATGTTTAAAACTTAGCCTGGAATCTGAATCTGCTTCTCACATGTTAGGTGCGATTTATGTATTTTGACTTTTTAAAATCACAGGTCTATTGTAAGTTTAGAAATACGTACTTCTTCAAATTTTACACTCAATGACATTTTCATTCCCAAAGAGATCTATGTGGACTCCTACTTATTTTGCTGTTCTATAAAATCAGAAGTCATACATAGTATTGAGTAGAATTCCTTATCAAGATGCCACAGGGAACATTTGTTGAAATACTACCACTGTTACTTAATTCAAAGTGTACGTCTTCCAATGAGCCACATCAGGAGTGTTTTCAGTTCTTCAGTACCTCTAGTAGATAGAAGCATACCTTTTTTTAAAGTTACTCATTTTAAATTATGATTGTATGAATATTTTAGGAATATAATAACCACAAAATGAAGGACATTTATCATACCCAAATAGAAATTTAATGTAAAGTAGAAAGAACTTGATTGCAAGGTTTAGTAGCCTAGAAATAGGATGTATAAGAGGATGTTGAAGAACACTTCTGAAAAAACTCTCAGTAGGTACGGTTTCCCAATAGATTTAAAACAAACAAACAAACAAACAAACAAACAAAAAACCGAGGGTTGCATTTAGTGATGTTTGTAAAGATCGCATTTGAGGTAGTTTCACCAAAGATCAAACTTTTCTAATGTTGAAAAAGCACATATAAGCTAATAAACTTTTTGGTCATTCCATGTAAAAACAACTTCCAAAAAAATGTATTCAGTGTCATAAATTTAGTGAAATTTATTTCAGATCGAAGTTGCTCTTGACCATATTGCAATCCAGTGGCTTCGGTCAAAAGTCAGGATTGTACCTGGACGTATGTGGTTAAAAATATTCCTTTTAGCTACCCTGGTACTCCTGGCCTTTCCTAGTACCTGTCACTTTGTCGTTGGCGACATTTGAGGCAGAAAACAACTCGAGTCGACAAGGATAGTTTTCCAGTCAGCTATTCCGTTTTCTCCAGTGCTTCTTTGTTGTATTGGAGTTCACATTTACTATTCATGAAACCCATTTTATCAGTGACCATATCAGACAAATGGAAGCTAAGCGCTGGTTAGTATGTTGGAAATAAACACGAGGGTTCTCATTAATGTCCCTGTCTGAATAATTAGTTGAGCATCGTGTACTGAGCAGCAGCGAAGGCGAGCTGCTTCTCACTGGAGCGACAGGCTGACAGCCACATCTTGGAGTGTGGTCATTAGTGTGCCCCACCATCTATGTCATGTTACTGTGTCAAATTAGTTAGTGTCCCCTTAGGAGAGAAGCCGGACCCACAAATTATCCGCCTCCATCCCTGGAAACGGTGTTTGCGAAACCTGCGATCGAGTGTGAGCAAATTATTAACACGGCTCATAAATTAACTAGTTTACAGGCTTATAACATTTTACAAGTAGATAATAAAGGGTAGAAAAGTTTTCCAGTTGCTTTGCCCTGATGTTAGGGCTGTGATCTGCCGACTTTTCCTTGAGGAGCCCACGGCTGATAGGTTTTTTTTAAAAAGGGGAGCAAAACACATGGAGTGTCAGAACAAATGTTTGGGAAATGTAGACTTTAAAAGGAAGCAAGTGTAAACCCCCTGAAAACAATGTAATTAACTTCGTTATCTCATTGCTCTGATAAGTCGATGACAATGGCCCTCTTTCTTGTGGTGGCAGTTGCTCATTAATGAGTTCACCAATTAAGTTTGAACGATTACAGCCTTTGCCAACTGAAATCATCTTTAAAAATATTTTTGATGCGTTCTTACCCTGCACTTAAGCTGCCTCGTTGAAGAGCGAGGTTGCTAACGCAGCATGTTCAATTCATCGAAGAAGGAAGATGCTTAAGCCGTGATACATTTGGCAAACGGTTTATACTCACGTAGGCAGTGCATACCTAGGACACGTCACGTGGACCCATCTGGCCTGAGTTCATCTCTTACCAAGAAGAGGCGCTCACTGAGAACACCAGCCCTTAACCCTCTTCCGAGCTCTGGTAGACAGACAGCCCACATAGTTTCCGGAGCTACGACGTGACTATTCAAATCACGAGAACTTCATACACCTCCTTTTCAGTTTCAACTTCTCTGATGAGACTTAGAAGACGTGTCGCTCGTGGATTTTTGTCTGAGTTGGCTGTTGGGAGAGAACGGCACACGTGCACGCGGCGGATCTCAGGCTTTCTACTCATTCTGGAGTTCCGGTCCCCCGTGTTACGGTGGCTCCTGTCACCTTGAGGGCTGCATAGGTGGCATTATCGTCCCCAGGATCTATGCAGAAAAGGCCTGGCGTGCAAAACCTTGCTACCGGCTGCTATTCATAAAATCTCTCTGAAACTGCTTGAGGATGAGTTGACTTATCTGTCAGCAATTTCAGCTTACTTGGAATTGGACTCGGTCAATGTTCTACTAATAACCTCACCAAGCCGTGAAAGCTCACAGCCTCCACCCGTGTGCACATACACAGGCTGGCTGTTGCCATGAGGAGGCCGTGTCACGGCCTCCCTGTTGTGCATTTGAAATGCAGCTAGAAAAAGAGCCATGAGCTGCGGCAAGTAAGGTTTGGTGTTTGGCTGCCAGGCGAGATAGCTTGTCCTTTTTTTTTTGTTTGTTTTCCTAAACAGGGTGCTTGTGTGCATGTGTGCCCACATATATTTATTTCCACTTGCCGTTTCTGCTTAGATGCATTGGGAGAGACTGAAAGACTCAAACCCAAGGCAGAATCCACATTTGGACTCAGGGATCTACCTGGCCCTTGTTTCTCAGGATAGGTTAACGCGCTCATTATGAGAATTTATCCTAAACAATAAAAGAGGACGGGCGTTAGAGGAACCCTTCCTTGTAAGTAAATGTCAGTGCCTTCACAGGTGACAGTTTCCCCAGCTGCATACCATTTTGCTTCCTTCTCCTGTGTTCTCTGATACTGAATTCAGCGTATGAGCAAATGAAACGCCGATTCTGTAAGGGGAAAGGTAAAATAGACGCTTAGATACATGACCGCATATTGGATGTTAAAGTCGCGTGTCCTCAAGGAATACCCGAGGCTCCTGTGAATGCCTGGCTTTTGAAGCATCACAATCGGGGCACCTGGGTGGCTCAGTAGGTTCGGCGTCAGATTTCAGCTCAGGTCATGACCTCACTGTTAGTGAGTTCAAGCCCCGCGTAGGTCTCTGTGCTGACAGCTCGGAGCCTGGAGCCTGCTTCGGATTCTGTGTCTCCCTCTCTCTGTGCCCCTCCCCTGCTCATGCTCTGTCTCTCCCTCCCTCTCTCAAAAATAAATACACATTAAAAAAAAGTTGGGACTCTTCAGTTAAACCTCTCCTCTTCTCTCTGCTTTCAGTGTCCCTCCGTGTGTTGCAGTCCTGTGGCATTATGCCTGCCTCCAACCAGTGACCCCCCCAGCTTTTTATGGCTGTGAGACTCGTTAGAAGCTCAGGGTAAGTGGCAAACATTACTACTGTTGCATCCCGCTTAAGAATTGGGGTCCATCTTTGCAGGCGGCCCCGCAGAACATGTGGTAATTTCTCAGAAGGTAATGGAATGAGTCATTATTAAGCCAGAATTCTACAGCCAGCAATAATAAGTTTGTTGTCCTCCAGGCTAGCTTTCTGGCTTACAAGAGTAGGATCTGTAACCTGGATCATATTCGTGGAAAGGTGATCGGATACAGGGAGTGCAGATTTTGTCTCTAAAACAGCCAGATGATAAGCATTGGCAGCCTCGTGGGCCACACAGTCGCTGTTGCAACTTTGTGGTCAACTCTCCCGATGTGCCATCCCAATCATCCATGCACAATATGTACACAAATGGGTTTGACTGGTTCAGTGAAACTGTTTCCAGAAACAGCCACTGGGCCGTATTCGGCCCAAAGGCTGTAGTTTGCTGACCCCTCACCTAAGCATCAAAAAAGGTAGGGAGGATACCTCCCTGGGTAGCGGTTCCTCTGATCTCGAGCAAACCATTTATCAAGAAGAAACGAGAGGGGCGCCTGGGTGGCGCAGTCGGTTAAGCGTCCGACTTCAGCCAGGTCACGATCTCGCGGTCCGTGAGTTCGAGCCCCGCGTCAGGCTCTGGGCTGATGGCTCAGAGCCTGGAGCCTGTTTCTGATTCTGTGTCTCCCTCTCTCTCTGCCCCTCCCCCGTTCATGCTCTGTCTCTCTCTGTCCCAAAAATAAATAAAACGTTGAAAAAAAAAAATTAAAAAAAAAAAAAAAAAGAAGAAACGAGAATAATAATAATAAAAAAAAACACCTGCCCTTCCTACCACACAGGGTGTAGTTTTAAGGATGAAACAAGATATAATGTAGATGAAAGCACTTTGAAAATTTCGAAACTCCTTACAAATATAATGGATGGCTCTCTACAGTCATTCTGGTTCACGTAGTGGAGTCTGCCTTCTTCACCCTTTTAATCATATTGGGCTTTCATGAGCTAAATGAGTGTGGGGGAAAGCTCTTTTATTTTCTAAGTAATGTGGTTTTCCTGTACGTTCCTTCCCCTCTGCAGTTGATGGACAAGCTGTTGAAATGTCTCTTGAGTATCAAATATGGATGAAGGGATCTATGGGTAGATTATGGCAGGCTGAAGATCAAATGCCAATGAACAACGATTAAATTTCTTTTAATCATCAGATTCTGAAAGTGGTTTAAGATCTTCCACCTTTAATAAGGTCCTTAATAAACAATAATGCTTTGGATGTCTCCAGCTATGTTTGAATTTCACAAGTGTTGCATGTCACAACATAGAGACTGGTTCGGCAGATATGCTTCCTGGACTCGTGGTTGTAATTAAGAGGGAAAGTCATACTTAAACAGCTTGGTGAATCACAATTCCAATTCATGAATTTTCTCATTTTTTTCCTGAGAGGAAAAACGGGATCGTCTTCAGACATGTTTTCATATCATCATACCATTTAAGAATTGTTTTCTAGTAGCAGAGATGCATCTAAGTTTAAAAACGTTATTGCATATTCTGTCTGATAAAAGGTATCTGGAGGAGAGCAGTTAGTGCTGTCTTTCTGCTCCGCCTGCCTGTTCAAGGGTTGTTTTGTTTTCAAGCTCACATGATGGCTGCTGGCTTTCCAGCCATTGCCTCTACATCCTGAAGAGAGGCAGAAATGCAAGGAATGAGAAAATTAGCCTCTCCGCTGAAGCAGGCCTCTTTACACAATTTTCCATGAAGTCTTAATGACTTCCACTTAAGCCTTTTAACAACCCCTAACATTAAGGACATAAGGGAAGTGTATCCTTAGACTTGAGAAATTTGATGTCCAGATAAATTCCCTGTTCTCCTAGTAAGGAAGAGAAAGGTCATTGCTTACTGAACCGCAATTGTAATTACTTCTACAAACCCACAATGTGAATTTTTCTTACAGGTTTAATTTTTGTTTCTTTTCGGTGAATGTCTTCTGTCATCCATTGACTTGTGTGTATAATCTCTAATTTGAATTTTACATGTTTGAATTTAAGCTTATTTGATTCTCACTGGAGATACATACCCCAGTAAATATTTTAGGGCCATAATATTCTTACTGAAAGTGCCGTGGCAAATCTGAGAATTGGATTTCTTTCCCAAGAGAGCTATCAACCAAAATTTAAGCTCAAGAATTTTGTAACGAATTTTGTGTCCTTTGGATATAAGCTTCTGTCAAAGCTTGAGTACAAGCCTGAGGTGCTAGTGACATAGAAGCTTACATTCCAGTTCTCATCATGCCATTGTCTGCAGGGGATGTTGCTGATGGCTGCACTGTCCCTCAAAGAAGGGACAGTGCTGTCCACTCTGTATCTCTGTGATTTGCTGCCCCCCCCCCCCATGTCTACTGAATACTTACCTAGGATAATGGGGAAGACAAGTAAGTCACCCCTGTCCAATTTTTCTAATTCAGATTGGCCTGTATGTTATTCATATGAAAAGTTGTATCCCTGGGGCACCTGGGTGGCTCAGTCGGTTCAGCATCCGACTGCGGTTCAGGTTATGATCTCACGGTTCCTGAGTTCGAGCCCCGCGTCGGGCTCTCTGCTGACAGCTCAGAGCCTGGAGCCTGCTTTGGATCCTGTGTCTCCCTCTCTCTCTGCTCCTCCCCTGCTCACACTCTGTCTCTCTCTCAAAAATAAATAAAGATTTCAAAAAATTGTAGAAAAGTTGTATCTCATAGAATAAGCAGAATGAGACTTTCTCATACTTCATTCTGTAGTCTCTGCCTGGACCAGCCTGTGACAGATTCTCCTGAATCACGGTGGTTGATGCATTCACAAACATTATTGAATGCCGTTTATGGACGTAGGAGAGCAGTGTGGTGGTCTGCTTTGAAGTTTAGATCAGCCTAGAACCGAATGCCACCCTTTGCGTTTACTGAGTGACTGAATGATGTTGAGCGAGTTACTTAACATCTCTGCGCCCCCGCCTCCTCATCTGGGAGTTGGGGATAAAACCGGGAACGAGCTTCCTGTGAAAATCTAGTGAGGTGATGCTTCTACAGAGCTTAGCACAGATCCTGATGGGTCATAAATGCCAGCATTGTGCTACACAGCCCGGGTGATGTGGTAGAAATCCCGATCTTTGAACAGTTTTTACTGTCGTGTGCCTGGTTCACTGGTCATCGTCTTACTTGTGGACAGTATGTGTTTCACAATCCATTGCTTCTAACCCAGTTTTCTCTTACAAGTTTAAGTCGAGCCTTGGGAGCCGGCTTTGATGCCTGTCTTCAAGGGCCCTGCAGCCATGCATGCTGTTGGACCGGCCTGCTAACAGAACTTAGATCTCTGGGTCCCTCTTTGACGATTTCCCCTGAGAGGCGTGCAATTCTTTTTCTATTCCGTTTTTTACTTACTCAGACAGTGGGCCTGCCTAGCAAGCAGAATTCGCTAACTGCTTTCAAGTTGGTATTGCTGATGATAATCTGAAACTCTGTAGGGTTTCACTCATGCAGGCTGATCCTACACGATGCCGATCTTGCCCTGTTTCATCCCGGGCCCTGCCTCCATGCTGAGTCTGCAGGGCAGGCCCTGGTCCCCCACAGATCTTCTTGGGAACAGCCCTCAAAGAACAGTGTCAGCTCCTTACCAAAGCTGCTGCATGACTGCGTCACGGACTGCAGCTGTGTCCATGGATGGCCCCACTGGCAGTGTGTCCCAGAGATTGAGAATTGGTGGTACCTAGTTGATGGTGGCTGTTTTTTTTTCTTTAATGTCTTACATATTTTTGAGAGAGAGAGAGAGCGTGTGTGAGTGGGGGAGAGGCAGAGAGAGAGAGAGGGAGACACAGAATCTGAGACAGGCTCCAGGCTCTGAGCTGTCAGCACAGAGCCTGGCGTGGGGCTCGAACCCGTGAACTATGAGATCATGACCCGAGCCGAAGTCGGACGCTTAACCGACCGAGCCACCCCGGTGTCTCAGTGACGGCTGTTTGTTGAGCAGCACTTGATGTTCTGGAAATAGTGGCTCGAAGATGTTCCCTGTTCCAGAGACTCTTGACACCCTTGAGCTTTTGCTATATGTTCTCAAATATTTCATTTAGGCACCATTGCCGTGCTCAGATGCCCTCAAATCTCCGTTGCCTCTGTGCTGTGGTATTCTCTACCTGGAACACTCCCTGTGTTTCACACGCTCACTCTCTCATTCCTTATTGCCCAGTTCACACGTCAACTTCTTGGAGAGGTCTGCCCGGAACACTCACATTGAAGATTTCCCTCCTGCCCCTTCTTCCTGTCCTCGCTCCAAGCCTCTTGTGTTTTCTGCATCTACCTGTTTGCCAGGTGATGTGCTCAGGGCAGGTCTGCCCGATTCAGCATGTCTCTTTGGCTGCTGACAGTATCCGGCGTATGGTAGACATGCTCGCAGTTAGCAGTTGTTGAAATAGAGCCCATTTGGGGATTTCCCTGTGAATTTCTGTATTTTCATGATACCTAAGAGGACCGCATCTGGGTGAGAGAGGAAGAGAAGAAATAAAACCACACACATCACCTTTATTGTAGGAATAGAATACTGCCCTTGGGTTTTCTCTGGAAGGTTTCCGCTCTCTACGAAACAAGTCGTTGATCCTCCGTGTGTCCCATGCAGAAAGGGTTATACATCATCTTCCCTGTGAAGACAGAATCATTTGCCATTTGGGCCTAAAGCGTATTGTGGGTGGTACAGGTTAATTAAGGACACTGGATTCCAAGATCAAATCCCAGCACCCTGGTTCACTGGCTCTTTGACCTTGAACAAATTACTTTCTCTTCCTCTTTCTGGCCTCTCACTTATCTGACCCGGGGTAATAGCATTACCTACTTCCTAGTAGTATTGCAAGGATTAAATGAGATGATACCTGTACAGTGCTTTGCACAGAGTCTGGAACAGTAATGATGCTGTTGGTGTAGAAAGAACAGCAAAGGGTTTTGGGAGGTACAGTGACAAACTCAGATTGCACTTTCTTGCGGTATTAAAAAAAATTGGTAA